CCTAAACCCTAAACCCTTAACACTACTGGCATTTCTGGCTTAGCTAAAGGGACCCGATGGCCTAGGGAGAATTCGGGTTTCGGGCCTGAAGTTTAAGGTCAGCTGCCGAAACCTATCTGTTTAGGGTTTAGGGTTTAGGGTTTAGGGTTTAGGGTTTAGTATTCAGGTGGCAAAAGTAACTATAGTAGCTCAAGACATGTTCAAGCCCTGTGATTATGGAATCCTAAAGGGAGGGGGTTCTAAGGGGGGTGTATAACTGTATAACCCAGTAATCCCCAATTCTCCCTAGTACTCCCTTAGGTTCCCTAAGGCTCCCTAGGACCCTCCCCCCTTGAGCCACCCTCCCTTAAGGATCCTAAATGTGAAGTCGTCTAAGAAGCTGCGATCAGGTCAGCTTCTGGTGGCTGGCTCTGGTTTGCGTTAGCTCCTCCTTCTTCCTCTCCACCGGAGGGGTCATCATCGATGCCATGTGCCTTTCAGTCTTGAAGGACGAGATTTCAGTCCTTATTACTTTTCACCGTCCAGCAACATACCTGCACTGTGCGCACAAATCACCTTGCTGCAGCTTGCGATTCACACGACCTTTCAGATGTTTGTTCGTGTGGTGTATCAATGCTCCTGGTGGTGACACAGTGTCCTTTTGCGACGTGTTCCTCACGGCATAAACAACTCGTCCCTCAACCCACATTTCCCTGATCCTAGAATCTAAAACCTCTAAACCCTAAACCTCAAATCCTAAATCCCAACCTCCTAAACCCAAAACCCACGTGATTTGAAGCCCTCGCCCTGAAGCTGTAAACACCAAGTCAGCAGGAGCAGGAGAGTGAAGAGCAGTATGGCGACCAGCGCCTTTGGTGTGCCGTCGGATGGGGCGGCATGAGCCTCGTAGCAGGGCAGCTGATCGCCGCCTGGTTTTGTGAGCATCACTTCAGTTCCGCGGTTCCCTTAATGGTTCTATATTGAGTTCTTGAAGGGTTCTACAAGGATTCTACAAGGATTGTACAAGGATTCTACAAGGATTCTAGAAGGTTCTCAAGCTTAGGGTAGCGTATGTGAGGGACCCAAAGCTTCGACGAAGGACCTCCTCGGCATAGGCTTCATGTTCTGGGGCTTCGCCTCCATTCAAGCCTGCTACCTGGCGGTCTGCTTGTGCTATATGCCCATGCAGAAGCAGAAGCAGGAGAGCAGTGAGGAGCAGGCTTGGGATGTTGTCTGTGGAGGGGATGTTGTCTGCAGGTAAGAGAGGCCGTTTTTGACGGCTTTAAGGGCTGTGCTTGTTTGGAACACTGGCGGCCTCCTGGGGACCCCGTAGATCAAATCTTGCGACGCGGAGCCACTTCCAGCCCTGAAGGTGACTCTCAAGCAGTTCTTGAACTTTGACGTGATGTGGTTCTTCGCAAACCTCATCATCTATGGCCTGGCTATGTCAGTCGTTGAATCCTTCCTTCTGGTCTTTCTGAATGAGGCCCCAAACCCTCAACCCTAAACCCCTAAACCCCTAAAAGCCATAAACCCTAAACCCTTCAACCCTTAAACCCCAAGCCCTAAAGCCCAAGCCCCAAAGGATGCCCCAAGATCCCCCAGCCCTCAGCCCGAGACCAGCCCGGCGAGTAATGTAGGGGCCTTCAATAGTTAGAATAGGGTTTGGGGAGGGTTCCTTGAAGGGTTCTATAGGGGTTACTCTGAGGGTTTAGGGAAAGACAGCTAGAATTGGGCTTGGGGAATACTATACTATAATTGTCATAAGGAGCCCTCAAAACCCCATTCTACTTATTCAGGCGCCTACATGGGTAGTTCTCTAAACTAAGGTCCCTTTTCAAGTCCCCAAAATACGGCACCCATATCAAAAAAAGACTCTAAAAGGGCCCCGAATTTGGAGATCTACCCACATTACTTCGAGCAGAACTCCGAAGAAGTGAAGAACTCCCCAGGCTCAAGGCGCCTCACTAATTACCTAAACCCTAAACCCTAAACCCCAAACCCTAAACCCTAAACCCTCTACTATTTTGGGGGCTCCTTATTAAAATTATGGTATACTGGGCTCCAAAACCCTATTCTAGTTATTAAGGCCCCTACATTACCATTACCACCTAAACCCGAAATCGCAACTTACAGGGGGGATTTGGGGTTTAGGGGTTTTGGGGTTTAGGGTTTAGGGGTGTAGGGGTTCAGGGTTTAGGAGTGTAGGGGTGTAGGGGTGTAGGGGTTTCGTGGTTTAAGGGTGTAGGGGTGTAGGGAACCCTCGAACCTGGGCGCGAAAGCACAGAGATCCTTCGCAGGACTTTGACAACGCGCCCAAGCTGCTGCTCGGAGCGAGCACGACCGTCATGTGCATCTTCGAGGTTCCCATGGGATGCGGGTTTAGGGTCTAGGGCTTTGGGTTTAGGGTTTAGGGTTTAGGACTTAGGGTTTAGGATCTAGGGTTTAGGGTTCAGGGTTTAGGGTTCAGGGTTAAGGGTTTAGGGCTTAAGGTGTGTCGAGGAAACGTCCGCTGCAGGTGTAAAAAAATATGTGGAACCAGGTGTGGAACCAGGATGCCGCGACATACGTCCGAAATCTTGCGAGCATGCCGAATCCGTCATGCCTGTGGATCTCGAACGAATCCAACGCCAGAGGCCACCCAAACCTGATTCCAGATAATTTCTGCGAGCATTTTGGGTCACGCCCTTCGCTGCGGCTCTGTGGCAGTATTTGGGCTATGCCCTTCGTTGCGGGCTCTGTGGGACAGTATGTACGGCTAAACCCTTTGCCGCTGGCTCCCTTGGAGGGTTTAGGGTGACTACACGAGAAGAACCCCGTTGTTTTGTTGCAGTTCGTGGCTCGCACCCTTTTGCGAGTACGCCTGCTGTTCGTGCCTCTTCGACCTTTGGGCGCCAAAAACGATTACGAACGGCACGCGGCCTACCGAAATAGAAATAGTAGATTTCCCGACGCAACTTTCCAGCCACCCGAAAACCGAGCAAAATTGCCCTTCAAGTGCACAGGAAGCCTGATGGTTTAGAGCAAGTACACACAAGAAAGGTGCTGTCTTGCTGCAGTTTGTGGCTCCGACCACCTTGAGCACGCACGAGCACGCCGAGGTCTAAAATTAGTAGAAAGGGGCCAGAGAGGGTGTACAAACACCTCCATTAATACGGGGAGTGATATCAATTGAAATGTTAAGGCTGTTAAGGAATACTTGTACGCAGTTATGCGCTACAAGCGAATCGCTGGAATTGGCCAACTATTACCATTTGCCTCTACGTAAGACTAGAGTCTTAGAGAGTCTATTGTTTACTTCCCGGATGGTTGCAGTACGCTCCTATATGTGGGGAGGCATGAATCTGAGCTCTCAGGCTTATGAATTGAATTCAGGTTTACGGGATTTAGGCTTCACCTGTAGTTCCTTTTTGGGTTTTACCAATTGTATATATACATATATAGGATCCTACGAGGTAACCCAAAATAAAGGAAACTACAATGGAGACTGTAGGTAGGATAGGTAGGTTTAGGTCTTCGGTTGGGGCTTTGGGGCAGCCGTCAACCCGAAGCCCCGAAGTGCTGGGGTCGGGTCCCCACCGTGGAACGTTGAAACAGAGGAGGCGCAACAAGAACGGACGGCGGGCTGCTCCTCACTGTTTTTCATGTTGCGGCCTGCCGCGGACCCGCGGAAACGGAGTTGCTTTGTGTTTTTTGTTTTATTTTATTCTATTATATTTTCTGAGGTTTAAAAGAAGCGGGACCGCCCGAATAATAGCATACTTACAACAACGACCGCTGAAGATCGTATACCCTAAGTCGTACAAGAATCACTGGCCTCTGCCAGGTGCCGGTATTCAAATACATTGATCATGTCTGGGCACGGCGGAAAGAAAGGCTCACGAAGCTTGGCCGATTTAGGCCAAGCCCCGAGCCCCAAACCTTAGACCCTCAACCCTAGCTACTGCCCGTCCTTCCCCGCTTTAGACAAACCCAGAACTAGACCCTAGACCCTAAGCTCTCAACCCTCGACCCTAACCCTAAACCCTAAACCCTAAACCCTAAACCCTGAACCCTAAACCCTAAACCCTAAACCCTAAACCCTAAACCCTAAACCCGAGACGCCGAACCCGAAGGCCGAAGACCCGAAGCTCCTGAAAC